CTTGGCATTGTACAGAAATGGACAACCATATTGGTCTAGAAATGTTAATTTATTTTTATTTTTATTTTTTTCCATGTGTACAGGGGTAACACATCGTACTAAATATGTAAGGTCACATCTAGGTGGGTTTGATTACAGAAACTAATAAAGTATTCTCTAAATAATGAAAAAAGAATAAGATAAGACTATAAGAGCGAGAAGCAATTTAAATATGTTCAGGGACCATTTTCATCTCCAGAATTAAGGATTATTTTGATGTTATTTCATTGCCTTTTCTCTTTTACTTTCCTTTTTAGTTTTATTTTAGGATTCCCTATTTTTAATGTTCATCCAGAGATTTCTTTAACTGAAATACTGAATAGTTTCTTTGGTGTGAAAAACTATAACAGTACACAGGATCCTAATGAGACAATTAATAATGTGAAATAGGAAGTAAAGGGCTAAAGGTGTAAGGAAAGTGGGAAGGGTGGGGGAAAGGTAATAAGGGAGACGAAAAAAATATGAGAAACTGAAAAAATGGAAATAAAGTGTTTGTAAATGGGGAGGGGAGGAGGGGGTGAAGGGAGGGCAGGGACAAGGGGAAAAATGAGAATCAAGACCTATTATGTAAAGGTACAGAATCCCAATGATGAATGTAATTGTATTGTATACCTAGATTGTGCCAATAACTTCAATAAAAAAAAAATAGATGAGCTCAGGGCCATGATGGAAGCCATGAATGCCCAGCATAGGAAATAAACAGAAACCATGACTGCCCAACATAGGAAAGAAAAATAAATAAATGGTGTTGGAAAACTGGATTTCAACCTGCCAAAGATTAAAACTAGACCCCTATCTTTCATCATGCACTAAACTAAAATTGAAGTAGATTAAAGATCTAAATATTACAATAGAAATACTAAACTTGCTGGAAGATAAATTAGAAATCTTGAAGACATTGGCATAGGGAAAGACTCAGTAGCATGGTAACTAGCACAAAGAATAAACAACTGGGATCTCATCTTATTAAAAAGCTTCTGCTGGGGATTTGGCTCAAGTGTTCCGCCACCTGCCTCACAAGCACAAGGGTCTGAGTTGGTAAAAAAAAAAAAAAAAAGAAACTAAGGTTAAAGGTCACATTTGATACCCATTTATTCTTCTGCTGGGTGTCTTCCCAAAAGAATTGAAAGAATCCTACCACAGTGATGTATGTGCACCCATGTTTACAGTGGCACAGTTTGTAACAGCTAAAACTTGGAAGCAGCCCAATTGCCCAACAACTGGAGACTGGATAAAGAAGATTTTTTTAAAAATAAAATTGAGTACTACTCAGCCATAAATAACAAGAAACTAGAGACATTTATAGCTAAATGAATGCACATTGAGGCCATACTGTTAGGTGAAACAAATAGTACACACACGTGTAAATACCGAATAGTTTCTCTTGTATGAAAAACTAAAAGTATAAATAAAGATCGAAATGTATAATTGATAGTGTGAAATAGGAAGAAAATGTCTAAAGAAGTAAGGGAAATGGGAGGGGTAGGGGGAAAGAAAGAAAGGAAAAGAAAAACTATGAGATAAGGAAAAAATGGAAATAAAATATTTGTAAATAGGGAAGGGAGGAGGGAGTGAAGGGAGGGCAGGGGTGAGGGTAAAAAATAAGAACCAAGATACATCATGTAAAGGTACAAGATCCCAATGATGAATGTAAATGTACTGTATACCTAAAATGTACCAATAAACTTTTTAAAAAACCCTTATACAGTGATTACTCTAGAAAGTTTTCACACAAGTAAAGTAATTCCTCACACTCTATTCTTCTCAGCTAATATATTTTAATACAATACTTGTCCTATATTTCATTCAAGGCTGGGACCAAGCGCAGGAAATGTCAACCTAAGTTGAGTAACTAAGAAAAACGTTAGGGTCAGGGAGTGTAGCTCAGTGGTAGAATGCTTGACAAGCCTGCTCCAGGCCCTGGGTTTGATCTTCAGAACAAAGAGCAAAAATTAGAAACGTATCCATTTTCTCTGTCTGTATCTCTCTCACCCTCTCAATAGCATAAAATGTACTGTTTTATCCATTTTAAGTGTATAATTCAATGGTGTTAAATACAGTCACATTGCTGTGCAAGCCATTCATTCCCAGAACTTTTTATTCACTCTACGAATTTAGGTACTCTAGAAAAGTAATATAAATGAAATCATATGATATTTGCCCTTTTGTGACCGGCTTATTTCCTCTAGCATGTGTCTTCAAGGACCACCCATAGTGTCTGTGTCAGAATGTCCTTCCTTTTTAAGACTGAATAATATTTCTTTCGATTTTTTTTACCATGTTTTGTTTATTCATCCATCCATCAGTACACACTTGAGTTGTGTCCATCTTCTTGCTGTTGTGAACAATGCTGCTATGAACGCAAGTGTGCAAATATCTCTTCAAGTCCCTGCTTTATTCTTTGCTCTCAGAAGTGGATCATTCTCTTATGCCAGACTCATTTTCTTCAAAAATCTTTCTTCCCTTCTGTCTACCCCAAGTGCCATAGCAAATGGTCCTCTGGGCCACTAGGGGGCGCGCCACACCCTGGGATTCCGGGGTCTTGGCCTTCTGTACCCTCTAGCTTGGTAGAAGTGAGAAAGAACACAGATAAAATGGAAGCCTTCAGAGGTATCCCTCTTGGGTTTGGTCCATTCACAGCCTTCAGGGCTTTGTTCCCTTGTTTTCCAAACACCACGTGGAAATTCCATCACGAAAAGAGCTAGCCTGCCTTCAAAAGGAGGTCAGAATCCAGACAGCAGGCCTTTCCTCCATGCTTCATGTGGGGAACACTGGTTTTCTGCCCCCTTGTGAACATGAGCAGATTATATATAAAAACCACTTTTGTCTTACACATCTGTCTTTTTCCAGCCGATTCCTCTTCTCCCCGAATGTATGGAATTAGATCCAGAATAGATTTCCTGTTCCCAAGTGGCTATATGGCAAGGTAGTTCCAGAAAGGTAGGAGTCCCCTTCTGTGGTCATTTTTGGCAGACCTTGTCCTAAATAGCCACAAGGATTCCCTAAATCTTTCCCAAAAGGCTCCTCCACACACATGAAGCCTGACTTGGACCCCTGAAGCTGTGTGATTATGGAGAGGCAACTAGACCTCTCTCAGCCTCAGTGTTTTGTTACCAGCTGCTCTGGCCCACAAACTCTTGTCTGTAGGCTCAGGTCCCTTTGCTTGTCTTCAGCTAAATCAAAGGAGGTCATTTATTTTGGTGAAAAGGATAAAGATTTTATTCAAAGCTAGCTGGGAGGGAAGGGTGGGGCCCATTGCCTCAAGTCAGCATCTCACTGTGTGCTGGTGTGAAAAGGTCTTTTATAGCAGATACCAGGGGAGCGGAAATACAAGGACATAATATGCAACTCCAAGCTTGCTTCATTCCTCCAGGCCCCTTTGTACCCTACCTTCCCTGTGTAAATGAAACTGAACCTGGCATGTGCAGATAGCAGCATCTGCATGTTCTGTCCATTCACCTGGGCTGAGGAGAGGAGGGGATGGCATTCATGCCCTAAGCCTAACAGAGTTTGGAAAAGCCACTTGTCCTTAAAGGAAATAGATCTCATTTTTAAAGTTCCACTTTGCCGTGCTGGTTACATTTTCATCTGTAAAATGGGATCGTAACAGTGCCAACCTCATAGTGCTGTGAGGCTTGGGTTCCTCAGCCTATCAGAAGCTCAGTGCAGGCTGGTTATCAATGTTGTCCCGATGCTGTGTCAATTCTCCCACAGCAGTTAGGCCTGGATTGAAACAGTTGTTCCCTCACATGCTTTTGACACCACACACCAATACAAAATATATGAAAACTAACAGCTACAGATGGAGGCAGGAGGATCAGTTGGGCCTAGGAGTTTGAGGCCAGCTTGGGAATATAGTGGAGACTCTATCCCAAATAAGAACTGTCCTAACATTTCTATTTTACTGACAAAAACAACTATTGTAGCCACAAAAATGATTTTAATCCCAGTGCTTCCTGGGAAACAGACTCCACGGTCCAGGGCTGGACTATACCACATAAGCACATCACCCCCACCTCACTACTGTGCCTGGACCAGGAGGAGGGGTTTGTGCCCGCCTCCGGAGAAGATGAACACCCATTGCCTCTTACTCAAGTTGTGGGGAAAGGACCGCAGTCCTTTCTGTGTCTTTCCTTGCTTCTCTCAGTTGCCTCTGAGATGTGGTCACCTGCAGAAGTAGACACATTTAAGGGGACTTCGCAGGGGTGGGGCAGCTTGAGGATGAGTTGCTGGGCAGAAAGGGATGGCAAGCTAGGGTGCTACCTGCCTTGCCCAGAATATGAGTTTACACTTGTGAATATAACTGTTCCACACAACTTTTATTACTGCCAGTCAGCCACTGAGGTTGAAAATAAAGTCACAGTGGAGGTTTTTTGTTTGTTTGTTTGTTTTGGTACTGGAGATTGAACTCAGGACTTTGCGCTTGCCGGGCAGGTGCTGCACCACTGAGCTAAATCCTCACCCCCAACAATGGAGTTTTATGGCTAAAATTGGGATTTGAGGGGTTGACAGATACTTTCGTGGAAGAAGATGCACAGTCAGTGTAATCCACACCAGGACCGGTTTCTTGGTAACTCGGCTTCTGGAACCCAGTTCTTTTAGGATGGAATTACAGGCCTGTGGCAGCTTTGCATTTTCATCCCACCCTCCTGTCCCAGTCCCCTGGGGCTGAGATTCCACACTTTGCTGTTCTGTGCTGGCAGACAGCCTGGCACAGTTCCTTGGAGCCAGAGGTTGGGTCCTCCCACCAACTTCCTTTTCTTGCCCTCTCAGAACACCCCATATTCATGTTCCCTGTCCTCTGAGCTGACTCCTTACTGCCTCTGCAGCTCTTGGCTGCTTCCTGGAAGGGAAACTGCCCTCCCACTCATCTGCCTGCTTGTGTGATTCCACCCTCTCACGTGGCCACATTCAAGGAACCTGGGCCACTGTTTACACTTCAGGAAACATGTATGTACCTTTTCATGGATAGCAAGCGAGTGTCCTCTGTCTGGATTGCTGTCATCAGTCAACAGTGCAAGCAGGGCCTCGCTGAGGTTTAAGTGCAAAGCAAGATTTAAAAAGCCAGATTTCTGATCTTTTCATTGTTACAATGAAGGCAGTTTTAAAACACAATCAAAAATCTATCCAAGGGAGGGAAAATTCTAAGGAGTACGGATTGCCAGCTCCGAGAGACCCTTGACCCTGTCACTTACTACAAACCCTAATGGGCATCTCCACTAAAGAAGGTGAACAGGTAACAGCCTCCAAAGCTTCCTGGCTGGCTCCTCCCCCACCCCCAGCAAGTCGTGCTGCACCAGGAGTGGATGGAGACAGCTGCCACCTGGGTGGTAGGATCCCCACCCCGCATGCACATCTCCTCCTCTCAGAGACTGGGGCCTGAAATTCCAACGTGGGATATGGGAGCTTTTGCGACAGGTCTCAGTTTTGTGTTTCCAGACCTTCCTGCTTAAAACACACCACAGCCCAAGGATAAACAGGCAGGTGGGGATACAAGCACGTTACCAGGCTATGAGAAATGCAAAGGGAAAATTAAAAGAGGAGGTAGGCATGTGGGCATAAAAAAGAACCTCAGCATTTTGCACCAGGGTGAGATTGCAGCCAGGCCTCCTCTCCCAGGCTAGTTGCCTCTTGTCTGGTATGCTTCTTACCTGTTCCCTTCCTACCTACTCAGATTTGGGGCATGTAAGTCTGCACCTCCAATACATTTTTAAGCCTAAACAAACCTATACCATTTATCTGTCCATAATTTTCTTAGACTCAACAGTCTTCAAGGCACATACTTGACACTTGAAAGGAAAATTACTAGGTGTAATTTTCTGTCTCTGTGAATAATCATCTTCATTTCAACTTCTTCAGTATGGTCACTGCATGAAATCTCAGGAAGGGCATCGAGGAAGTAGGAAATGTTGGACTCTAATTAATGTTGTAGCTGATAGCTATTTTCTATAAGTTATCTTTATTAATTGATTTTTTTTTTTGAGACAGGTTCTCTTTATGTCACCCAGCTGACTACAAACTCCTGGGCTCAAGTCTGCATCCTGCCTCAGCCTTCCCAGTAGTTGAAATTACAGGCATGCACCACAACACCCATCTAATATTTTTTAAATCTCAAGGACTAATGTATAACCATATAAAGTGAAAAATGTCAGAGAATAAATAAAGGAGGGTATTGGGCTACATATCTTAAAGTTAGCATTCTAAATATTTAACAATTGGGATTGGCCATCCCTGTTCATCTCTTGTGATGCAACCATTTTTCTCTCCAGCTAGACAAGTAGAACTTTTTAGCAAAGCCTCCCAGCTCACACAGTGGAATTCAGTAGCTTACAGATGCATGTGATGATAATTACAGGTCAGGAGACAAACCATTACTTATATCGAGACAAGCAGATTACCTGTGGATTTCCTTTACTATCCTTATTAGTACTGTTTAGCAAAAGTTCACCCTGAAACACAATGCAGAACACAGAACCTAGTGTCAAGCCCAGCACTCAGGCCTCTGGTCCTCCTTACCAAAGTAAAGGGTGGAAACAAGGCAGCTGGAGCAAACCCCACAGCTTTAGGCTCTTCCCTCTCTCCTTACCTTTCACGTTGCTGCGGGGAATGGAACTGATCTGTTTTCTGGGACCCAGGGCACGAGCTGGCACTTCCCAGGTTTTCATTTTTATGTTTCAGCTAGAGACTGGGGGACCACTGCAGCTGTCTCTCGCGCTGAAGTCATGCGAGGGCTTAAAAGTTACAGGCTCCAGCCATATTAAAAGGCCTGTGGCACAGCCAGAGTAACTGTGTTTTACAATAAACCAGTAATTCAACCCAGCAGTGCCGTAGGACTCCCTTCACACGCACGCAAGCACGCACGTGCGCATGCGCAGAGCCGTTTGTGAGCTAATGACCTAGAGGTAACCTCTGGTCTCCTGGCATAGGCGTATCTCCCACAGAGTGGCCAGATCTCGCCCTGGGAGTTGCTCTGAAATCTAGAGGCCACCTCCACGATGCTGGAAGGGTCTGTTCTTTGGAACATGGCCATTGTCTCTTCTTCTGTGCCTGCTTCTTCCTGGGTAGCTGCCTGTCCCCCGGTCGTCCCCTCCACTCCCTACTCTCTGGAGGGGAGGAAGAGCCTACACTCTATAGCTGACACTGTAGGGATGGCGGTACTCTTAGCCCCCTAACAACAGGAACTTTTGGCTGCCCTTGGCTCTCAGGTGTCTCCACAGTTCCCTTTATTGTGGAAAACATCATTGACCCTTCCTGTGCCTTCTGACTTCTCTCTTCAACTTATAGGTGTTACCTACACATGTTGCCTGACTTCACCATCCTTTCCAGCCTCACCCTCCCAAACTTCATCTCCAGCCACCCTGACCTCTAAATTTCCAGTGCCCTATTTCTTGCTGTCAATACTTGAACGCTCCACTGATACTCAAAACTGAATGCGTGCAAAGTCAACTTTATTGCCTCCTACTCAGACCTCCACCTGTCTTGATTTTCTTTCTGGCGCAATCATAGATTCATTTAATCTTGAGAAGCCAAGCCCACTGGGAAACGGCCTGTCCAGGATGATCCAGGTCCTCAGGAAGAGGAGGAGGCTTTAGCATCTGGGGTTTTGTTCTCACCTGCTCTGTCCCGCTCCCACCATGACTGGGAACTCTTGGAGGGTAGCCCCTGTCTGTTTCCTCTTTAAAGCCCCATGGTAAAGGACACATTATGGAACTTTAATCAAAGTGGAGAGGAGGAAAAAGGAGAGGTTCAAAATGTTAGAGTCTCAAAAGGAAGGATAGCATTTTTTGCCAATATCAATTCCAAATAGTACCTTATTTTTGGTCATGCATCGGAACATTTTACTAATGGACCACATTAATTTGGACTTCCTATCTCCTTATTATGGAAACTTGACAAGTAATGAAATGACAAAACTTCAAACTCTTCCCATCCCAGTCTGCAGGCGTCTCCAGTTTTGGTTTGCTTGCTTGTTTGTTTTGCAGCACTGAGAATTGAACCCAGAACATTTGTACTCGGCTACATCCCCAGCCCTTTTCATTTTATTTTCAGACAGGTTCTCACTAAGTTGCTCAGGTGATGCTCAAACTTGTGATCCTCCTACCTTGGTGTGAACCACCACGTCTGGCTGTTTTACTCTGTGTGTGTGTGTGTGTGTGTGTGTGTGCATATGTGCATGTGTGTATTTTTGGGGATCAAACCCACTGTACCACTGAACTACGTCCCCAACTGATTGTTTATTTATTTTGAGACAGGGTCTTGCTAATTGCCCATGTAGGACTTGAACTTGTAATCCCCCTGCTTCTCCCTTCTAAAGTGCTGAGATTACAGGTGTGTGTTACTACACTTGGCTAGTTTTGTCAATTTTTAACAACCTCAATTTCTTCATTCTAGGTATTTGGGAAGCAGTAATACTTTAAAGAAACAATTTAAGAGTCTCTTTTAGGGGGAAAAAATAGAGATTAAAATCCAGGAGTCCAAAGACAGACAGCAACATTAGACTGATCAAATGAAAAATCACAGCATCCCAATTTAACAGTAATAACACAGTTACTTATGTACATTGAGTATATATGTGGTATTTGGTTTCCTTACCTGCATTGTTGGACTTAATTCCCCCATCCCACAAGTTGGCTACTCTCAGTACCATTACCTTTCAATTAGGAAACCAAAGTTTAACCAGACCAGTGACTTGTCCAGGATCCCCCAGGTGGTATCTGGATTTTACCCTGTGCTGATGTGGAGCTGGCAAACTCAGCAACTGACTTAGACGTTCTCTTTTTTGGGGCGAGATAGTCAGAGGTGAACTCTGTAGGTGAGATAAGTAGGGCTTCATTATTTTGATGGATCTCAAAATAATGGAAAAGCAATTTATACATAGGTAAGTTCAATGTCCATACTAGGTGTTAAGAACCATCACTATCAGCTCTCCTTCTGCTTTTATTTTAAAAAAAACAAAACAAACTCCTTCATGTTAGCAGTATCTTAGTGTGAATTTCTCCCTGGCAAGGAAATTGGGGAACCAGACTGGAACGCACACTGACATTGTTTCCTTGCTGATCCTGCTGCCTTCCATTCTTAGAATTCTCGTGATCCTGATGTTCCACACTGCCTCAGCTACTGTGAGTCTGCAGGTAATCCATGGATAGTGTTTTGATATTTGAGCCAGATTCTGCTAGTTTTTTAAAGCCCTTATTGTTAGACAAACAGTGATTTCTATGTCACATCCAGAGAACAAGCAGAAAACAAACACTGGATAACAAGGTCAAATGCTCATCAATAGCAGTTGGGATGAAAGGTATTGGCTTTGCCTCTCAGTCTTGTTCTGAGCTTTGAAGAGTCATCAGACTGGTTTCCCCAAGAAGCTTTCAGTGCATCCTAAACCTTTTAGTTTAGGGGCCACAGAAGTAGCCTGGGGCAGAATGGAGGACTGTCCACAGCTGAACCACAATGTTGCCCTAGGCTTTTCTTCCTTCTGGCCTTGAGGACTGGTGACAGGGAGCAGCTGACTTAAGGACACACTGTCTAAGGGCCCAAGAAAAGCCACCAAGAGCAAAAGACATGGATGAGTCTGTCCCCACTCTAGACCTTGTATCTTGGAAAGACACCTGAGTGCCTTTGAGGACATGACCAGGAATTGGGGACAGTGTTTTCAATGCACACAGCAGGAATCATTAAAATTTTCCATAGGGCCAAGTATTATTTTTTCCTCCTGTTCTTTACTTTCCTTTCTTTTATCCTTCCTTCCATCCCTTCCCCTTTTAACCACACATGCCAACTTGTGACGTTTGATTTAAGAGAGGTGGCAAAGTGTACACATTTGCCCAGCTCCTCTGCACGAAGGTCCTTTCTAGTGGCCACAGAGCTTCCCTCTGGGGTCATGATCTTGACTGAGCTTGGACACGAGGGTGGGAAGTTGGGGACCTGTCACCTACTCTCAAGCTGAGTAGTTAGCTTGGGGCAAAGTCTGTCCATTCTAGGCTTCACATTAGAGGTCTGCCTCCCCACACCCCATTTCTCTAGATTTAAAACTTGCTGAGGATGGGAACTGGTGACGTGAGCCCCCAGGTTCTCCCAAGCTGCATTCTGGGATGTTCAGGGTCTCCTGGACTGGCCTTTCTTGAGCCCCTCCCCGACAAAACCTTAACCCCAGGACTGGCATTGAAGAAGACAGGAACTGAGCCCATTTGTAACTTGACAAAGTGGACTCAGCTTTTATGGCTGCTTCAGGCAGCTTGCCTCTTCTTCTCATCTGTCCGCAAGGGTAAAGCCTCAAAGTAGCTTCCCTACCTCGAGAAAGCAGCCCCCCACAACAATTATAGGCTATTCATTAACCCATCACTGGATCTAGTCTCATAAGCTCCATTCACTCTGAAGTGGGAAAAGTCACAGTGTACCTCCAGCCACCAGCACAATTCCAAGACTTTCCCCCTAATTAGTGGGGCATTCACAAAAACAGCTCTTATGCCCCTATTGTCAACTCCTCAAGGGAATAAATAGGTCCTTATTGTTTAACCAGTGTGGTAGGTTCCTGGTCCCATTCATTTCCTGATCCTCTCTGCTGCCCCTCCCCCTAAAGGGGACAGTGTCACCTGGTTTGGTTACTAATCAAGGAAAGGCAGAATCTTTGATTGTTACTACAGCCCCCCCCCATCACTGCACTGCATTCAAAGGCACTTCCTTTAGCATAGTGACCTCCTACTCAGGGAGAAGACTGGGGTTTTCAGAATTGGAAAGAAAAATGACAACGGGAAAACTGGCCTAAATTCATTCTGGCTGCTGTAGGTTGGCTCCTTGTTTCCAGGGTTCAAACCAGGGCCCAGAAAGCTAGAGTTTGAGCTCTTGCCTCCCCTGGGACATCTGCTAACTCCTTCCATCTTGTCATGGCGCTCCCAGCTGCTAACAGTACTTGGGGCCCTCAATAAAAGTTTTTAACCTTAGTCTGAGCTGACTGTAGTGACCTTTGCAGGCTGCTAACCTCTTTGAAGACTATGGACTAAAAAAAACAAAAACAAAAAAACCCAAACTATGGACTTGTCATGATGCTATTATATGCCTCAGTTTCCCCATACAATCAGGAGATGAATTCAGCCCTAAATCCTTGACAAAAGCATTTCCCACTTGAAACCTCCTTGCACCAGATTTCCCAGTCTCAGAGACCTGTCAGGGCCCGTGCAGTGTGGGAAAAGGGCCCAGGACCAAGAGGGGCGTGACCTGGGCTTGTAGATGGAAATAATTCCTGGATGAGCATCTTTGGGGATTCAAAGGAGCATGAATCCCATGACCTGTTCGACATAAATATGAGAGATACAGATATATTCTCTCTTTGCAGAGCCTCTCGCTCCAAGGCCCCCGGTCAGGAACGCAGGACGGATGAGGGCTGTCTGGGTGCCCAGAAAGGCTGCTGACCCGGGCAGGTCCCGCGAGTCCATTCGGGGACGAGACGGGCGGGTGCGGGCCCGG